ATCCTCAAATTGTGTGTCTCTGTACTATCTGTCTTTAGTGGTAACTAAATTTTCTGTAAATCTTTAGAACAAACCTCACCACACTCTATTATTATATAATAAATCAATGGTAATGATTGTAAAACTCAGTATGATTAATATGAGTCACTGGTTTAACATTTGCCTGCAGAAAGATGAACTTAATACTTTATTATAGTTTGTGTGTGTTTGTGTGTGTGTGGGGGGGGACTGTTTTTTTAGGTGAATAGTGTTTTTAAAAAACATTAGAATAGGGGTCACCATACTTTTGGACACTAGGAGCTACTTCAACGGTACTCAGTAATATGAAGAGCTACTCGTTTGATACAGATTTCCTGAACAATTTAATAATATTTAAAAAGAAAACTAATGCTGCTCCATCAAGTTCTAAGACATACAATAGCAGACACTCTTGTTACCATTATCATTGCACCCATTTGAATATGGTTGTAAAGTGTAAACTGATTCAAAAAGAACAGTAACAGTACAATTTGAGTTGACTAGTTTTATTTTTAGAACATATCCCACAGGCACCCTGTGAAGTCCATGGGGGTGTCCAGGTGCCCCCAGGCAACACGTCGGTGACCCTTGCATTAGAACAGTGTTCTCCTTACAAATTCATAATAAATTGTATTTTTTCAATGCCGTAATATATCTTCATACATATAAATAACTGCATGAAGCCAGTGGATAAAAAACAGAAACATACAAGAGGTATTGAATATACATAATTCTTTGAATGACTAATGTCATCAAAAAAACTTTTTCGCCAATTTTTTTTTCAAAATTTTATCTTAGCTGCACGTTTCTCATCAAATTATAGCATTTGAAAAAAAAATAATTTACAGAAAAATCCTAATTTTAACATGTCGATTTTGGTCAGAGACAAATGATCATAACATTTTTTTTTTTCAAACTACTATCTTATCTGCGTATTTCTCACTAAATTACATTTTGAGGATGTTTTGGAATTGTTTTGGCAAAATCTTAATTTCACATCTAAAGTTGAAAGAAATTATGAAATGGAAAATTTTGTTTTTCCAAAAATCTTTCTGTTCTGCATCTTCAATCATCAAATTAGAGCATTTTGAGAATTTTTTTAAAAAAAAAAAGATGAAGGGATGGGATGGGAATTTTGTAGCAAGATTATAATTACGTGTGTCATGTTGGTCAGAAGGTAAAAAAAGTTGATGAAAATTTTTGGAAAAAACACATTCAAAATTTTTACTTTTCTCTGTGTTTCTTATTAAATTAGAGCATTTTGAGAATTTTTTGAAAAAAATCCTGATTTCATGTGTCATATTGGCTGGAAGGTGAAATATTTTGAAAACATTTTTAGACATTGTTTTTACAGAATGTTAACCAAATTTTGGGGCAAGATGTTTTTGTGGAATTTTTATTGGGAAAATAATGATTTTGTGTATCATGTTTGTTAAAAAAAATTAAAACATTTGATGAAAATTTTTGGACATTTTTTTTACTACTCTGCGTGTTTCTCACCAAATTACAGCATTTTGAGATTTTTTTTAGACATAAACATTTTCGGAATTTTTTTTGAAAAATCTTCATCCGCTTTGTCATGTTGGTCGGAAGGCATTTCAGGGACTTTTTATTT